AACATGTCACTTGGCAAATTACCCTACCCACCGATAGGTATGTTAGTTTAGTGCAAAATGTTCATGGTAGTTTTTGTGCAATGCATATCAGTATTCATGGTAGTTTTGTGAAAATTTTCTAACTTATATATTAAAGCTTTCTATACGCTACTCCACCAAAAAAAAGAAAAAGAAAAAAACTCGATAATAAAAAGGCACAACCATGATTCATATATCTAATTCAAACTTTAGATAAAAGATGACAACCTTTTTCTTTTTAGCAATCTATTTCGATGAAACTGATTGGAAAAAATAAACTTAAAAGAAATTCAATTATAGGCTTATTACATTAAAAAACTATATTTACCAATTTACTGGGCCGGTCTCATTTGTTCCTTCTAGGTACTTTAAGAGCATGCAGAGAGACTATGGCATAAACCCTAATGTAAAGCACTCTGCCTGCATTGTTGACCTCCTTGGCCGAGCAGGGAGGTTAGGTGAGGCTGAGGAATTCCTTTTGGACTCTGGTTTCAGTAATGACCCCGTCCTTTGGCGAGCATTACATGGCTCTTGCAGGATTCACAGAGACACTGACAGAGGTACTCGTGTAGCAGAGCGGATAATTGAACTCGAGCCTAGTGCTTCTTCGTCCTATGTTCTTCTGTACAACATGCACTTAGAATCCGGCGAGAAACAGTTAGCAATGAGAGTTAGAGATCTCATGAAAGAAAAAGGGGTGAAAAAGGAACCTGGTTTAAGTTGGATAGAGATTGGAGCTTCGGTTCATTCATTTGTGGCAGGAGATAAGTCTCATCCTCAGAGTAATGTAATCTATTCAAAACTTCACGAAATGATGATGAAGATAGAGAAGAAGGTGAGTTTAGAAAATTGCCATAGTGAGAAGTTAGCTGTAGCATTAGGTATGATTTGTTTGCCAGCAATGGCTCCGATTAGGGTGATGAAGAATTTGAGGATATGTGGAGACTGTCATGAGACAATGAAGTTGTTTTCAGAGACTGAAGAAAAGGAGATTGTAGTGAGAGACGCAATTAGGTTTCATCATTTTAGAGGTGGTTCATGCTCTTGCGGTGACTATTGGTGATTTTGGATATTCTCACACAAAAATATCACTGTCCGTAAATTCCCTGGATCAAGCTGAATTAGCCGTATAAGAGCATGACTGTTATTGGACTCCCCCCCCCCCCACCCCCCCCCCCCCCCCCCCCCCTGCGGCGAGCGAGCGCGTAGTGGGCGAACTGTACAATAGGATGATTCATCAGTTGAACACAATTGCTGCATGTAGATTGTTGATGAGGTAGCATAACTGTTGCTGTTTATGGAGATTCTTTGTATTCAGCTAAAAAAGCATTGAGGTAAATTAGATCCATATGTCTTTCAACTGGAAATAAGTAGTTAAAAATCTTAAATGCGAAATCTATCTTGTAAACCATTGTATTTCTGGAGCCTGATGGCTCGTTATTTTAACCAAATCATTCACAATATTCTAGTAAAGTTGCATCTAGGGAGTTCTCGGAGTAAACTAATTTTCTAAGTGAAGGAATCTTCACTATTTGTTCAGTATTTTCTGAATATCGTGAAAATCATCAAAACAGCAATTGGAATTTGTAAAATTATAGAAGGCGCAATGCACTCAATTTTGAGTTGACACGCACAACTACAATAAACAACACAGCAGCAAAAGAAAATGAAAGTTGAAGATACTAATAACTCATGCTCTATCTCGGAGAACATTGGTAGCAAATGTGAGACTGTTTTTGGATAAAGGGTGATAGTCGGAGTTATGGAAATAGAAGAAATTTTCAAAACAGCCTCAAACCATGTTTTAATTTTCAAAACCGACCCATTTTTTTTATTACCAAAATTGACCCACTTTTTACCACGTCGGCTTAATCTCATTCCTAAACAGTCGGGTTGGCAACCCCAACTGTTTAGGAGGTTGTTAAACCCTAATTAGAAGTCTTAAATCTGATTTTTTATGTTCTAAATAGTCGGAGTTGGCAACTCCCACTAATTAGGAAATGAGATTAAGCTGACGTGGCAAAAAATGAGTCGATTTTGGTAAAAATAAAAGTGGATCGGTTTTGAAAATTAAAACATGGTTTGAGGCTGTTTTGAAAATTTCTTCTATGGAAATATTGTAGCCTACCCTTTTCTTTTTTGACTTGAAGCCCTTAAAACTAGAAAAGCCCATAGAGAAAGCACTTTCGTACGTAGCACAATATAAGAATGCAGGATAAATTGAAGATATTGCATTTTCTGCTGTAAAGTCATTGGATATATTCCCCAATAATTTAGATGGTGCGTACGTTCACGTGAGGAGCAAGATAATACACTTATTGTGGAGGATCTGGGCTGTTATGCGAATAAGATAAATGATAGTAAATAAAAAGGGTGACGTTCCATTATAAGAAATATTAAACATCCCCCCCTGATAGAAAACGAGAAATATTAAACTTATGCTATGACTCTTGTATAATCCTTTGATAGTTGGCATGAGTGTAGATGATGGGCTAAATTTTCCATTTTTTTTTTAAAAAAATCCTGACCTCCTAAGATTTATAGATGTATGTAAGTAACTAATGACACTATTTTACTTTCCATATGCTTTTTGGTTGTCAAACAAATCCTAATAACTGGAATACAAATGATTCATCTTAGAAGAGCTCGCATATGAGCAGACGGTCCGTCCGGGTTCAGGGGCTGTTTGGTTGTATGTTTTTACCATGTAAAAGGATGAAAAGTGTAAAAAAGTGGGTCCCAATGTATGTAAAAGGATGAAAAGTGTAAAAAAGTGGGTCCCAATGTCAGCTTTCATCACTTTCAATTGTTTGTTTGTAGTTGTGAAAATAGTGTAAAGTGATTTCATATGCTGATGTGGCTTGTAAAGTGATTTCATAAAAAAAGACATGATTTTAGTAGAAAGCTGACGTTGAAGTCAGGAAAAAATAATAAAAAATAATTCCAATCAATATGATCATTTGAGTAGGGACCATTTTTTACACTTTCCAAACAAAACAATTAAAGTTACATTTGCAAACCAAACAAACAATTTACGATTCCAATGGAATAAAAAACAAACAAAGAAAAGTATAAAAGTGAAATTGATGAGGCGGACTGTTGGCCTTCTTGTTTTGATGATGATTTACAAACAATTTACTACTAATATTGTTTGTTTAGTGTTTGTGCATTCCTATGTATTGTAGACAAACAACGTAGTTGGGGGTTGGATGGATTGAGCCTACACGATCATATCAAGAGGAGGTTGGCGGAATTGTGGAGTGAAGCAACGTACAATTCAAGTTAAAGATCAAGTTCAAGCTTCATCCGCAAATGTACCAAGTCAAGCTTAATTGAAGATCAAGATTGCTTGGGTAATTTAGTTTAGGAGTTTATATTATGTGTGTTGGTACTTTAAGCTCAATCATATACACACATACACGGTTTGGTTTTTGGTTTGATAGTTTTACTATGAAACAATTTAGTTATATATATACATAGTTATATATATACATATATGTTTTGGTTTGATAGTTTTCTAGTTTTACTATGAAACAATTTAGTTATATATATACATAGTTATATATATACATATATGTTTTGGTTTGATAGTTTTCTAGTTTTACTATGAAACAATTGAATATAATTAGAAAACATATTTTTGTTTCATACTTATATGCATATATATGATTTCATCAATATCAATTTTGGTTAGTTCAATGAAATCATGTTTTAGTGCATTATATGTGTATTTTGATAAAATACTACATTCATTGTTTATAGACTTCATAACAATAGTTTACATCTTTCTTCAAGTCTATAAAATTATCTTGTAAAGTTTCAAAAGTTGGTTTAGGTCAAAACATCAAACTCATGTGTTTACATTTTCATGTTTTGGACTATTTTGTAAAATGATGATATTTTTCATTTGGGAAATCCTTTCTGATAACCAGTCACTGTAGCATGTTTATTATCATGTCTATAATCATTCCCCAAAGTTTTACATTTTTTGGAATTTATTTGATATTTTTAAACAGTGTTTCAAAATCAGATATACAGCGTTAATCAAGTGAGTTTTAAAAACAAGTTTAAGGGTGTTTTGTGTTTGTTTAAAAGAGTGTTTAAGAGTTTGGTTTGTGAAGATAATTTCACAAGGGCTTGAGGAGATAATCTTTGGTGTTTGGGCTTCAAATCATCTCTCTCACTCTTTTCATTTATTGGAGAAGTTTTCTAAACTCAATCTAGCTTTACAATTTATTATTTTGATTATAATTTCATAAGCTAGATTTCATATTGAGTTTAGTTTAATTGTTTTATTGATACTCTTTGTTCACACACAACCTATTGAGCTTATTGTATTTGCATACATTATATAATTGGGTTGTGGGATAGTGTGACATTGAGTTGAGCCTAATTGAGTTCTCACCTTGTTAGAGAGAACAATCATTTGCTATATTGTGCTTAATTGTTAAATCACTTTGTAATACTCTTGTACACCGAGTGAGGAGTGTGTGGTGAGAGTCGGGGATCGTCCCAAGAGGAGTGGCGTCGGTTGACGTGCCTAGGGAGAGGTTGTAACCGAGCACTTGAGGGAGACACGGCTAGGTCCAACACTTAGTGGGTGTAGAGTGTGATTGTAAGAGTGTGAGTTGTAGAGTTTTCGGTTAGCTAGAAAACCGAGTGTGTAGAAGAAGTTCCGGTTTTCAAACCGGATTGTGTTAGTGGATTTCTCCCCGGGAGTGGGGAGTGGAGACGTAGGACGGAAGGTCCGAACTCCGTGATCATATTGCTTGTTTGAGTGTGCTTTGGCGTTCATTCATTTTTATGTTCATATCTTATATCGCCATTGTCATTAGCTCATTATCTATATCATCCACTATCTTGTTTAGATTGTTTACCCCTTGTGTTAGTTTACATATCCTATACATATATCATATTGTATATCTCTTTGATAGGATATATCATCTTGTGTTAGCTCATATATCCTTGCATATATCTCATAGTATATATCATTGCTAGGATATTTACCTTTGTTCATATTGCTTATTCTTGCACATAACTCTTGTATATCTATCTTGCAAGAATATACTTGTTAATTAATTTTAATTGGCACTTAAATCGGATTAGATTAGCATAAGACCCTAATCACCCCCCCTCTAGGGTCTAACAATTGGTATCAGAGCTTGGTGCTCTTTGATTTAAGGTCTAATCGCCTTGAGTTAAAGATCCAAGTTAGCTTATTGTGCTAATCTAATTTTGAGCTTTATTTGTATCTTGCTTGCATATATTTTTACAAATTATGAATATGAATGATGCATCTTGTTTAGGCTATGATTCTAGTGTTGCTCCTAGATTAGACAATTTCCCCTATGCCCAATGGTGTGTTAGATTTAAACTATTTGTTAGATCTAAACATTTTGATTTATGGGAAATTATAGATGATGCTTATATTGTGCCCATTTTGGAGAAATCCAAGTGGAATAAAAATGATCATCGCATGTTTACTATGAACAACATTTTGTTAGAATATTTGTTAAATGCTTTTAACTCATCTATGTCTAACAAGTTTGTTCATTTTGATAGTGCTTACAAACTTTGAAAATTTATAGAAGCACATCAAGGAGACTTGGAGGCGATCCGACAAGCTTTGGAGGATCTCGCTTCAAGTTCTAAAGGAGCTTCATGCACACGGCCACTAGGCGATAGCCCTAGTGAGGTTTGCGAGTTCGAATCTATAAATAATTTACCTAATGATGAACTTGCTTGTGCATATGATAAGTTAATGCATGCCTACACTAAGTTGCATAATAATTTCATTGATCTTAAAAGCAAGCATGTTAATTTGAAATCCGATCATGAATTGCTAGCATCAAAATTTGATACTATTGCTAAAGATAATGTGATCTTTAAAGAAAATAATGAAAAATTAAAATTGGATCATATTACCTTGAGTTCTAATGTTGCTAGCTTAATTCATGAGAAGAATGATGCCATGTTAGAAGTAGAGTCTATTAGAAGTAAATTTACATCATTTAAAAATGATCATATTTGCTCTACTTCTATTGACAATGCTTCTATGCCTAATGATGAGTTGAACAATATTAAAAATCGCATTTCATCTTTAGATTCAACTCTTAACACATGCATTGTTAATAACAAGAAACTTATGGACTTATGTGCAAAGTCTCGTGCTAACTCTTCAAAACCAAGCACTCACTATGCACATATGTATAGCAAAGTTTACAAATGCTCAATTTGCGGTCGTAAAGGCCACATTGCTAAATTTTGCTATGATGCACACAAATCTTCTAAGATTAATGCTTCTTGTGCATCTCATAAGGCTTCTTCATCACACACACATGCACATGCATCTATTTCTCATCATAAGCAAATGCTTCCTTTCTATTGTACATATTGCAATCGGAAGGGTCATTTGAGTAATTATTGCTATGACCAATCCCGTGCACCATATATGTCAAAGATGGTTCATAACCCTAGGACTTTGAGCTTTAATGATAGGGGTCATGTCCCTAAACAAACCGGCACCAAGAATACTTGGGTGCCAAAATAATTTTTAAAGCCAAGAATTTTAGTATTTTTTCCTTTTTCTTGGTTTTGAAAAATGTATTTGAAATTTTTATGAAAACAATTCCTTTTATTGATCAAATCTTTTGTTTTCATGATTATTTGATTTGCTTTCATGAGAGGTTTGCATTTATATAACCCTCCGGGTTTATTGGGTGTTTATTCCCAAATCATGTTTACCGGATGCTAGAATGATTATATAGGTTAGAACAAGTTTAAGAGCTTGATATATTGTTGCCTCTCTTGAAATTCTTTTGTTAAAAATTTTGTTTTGAATTGTTGCTTTTGAATTCATTATAATTCACCTATATGATGATATTTATATGTTTGTGCTTATGGATCATCTATTCGTGCCTTATAATGTATTCTATGAGTGGTTTGATCAAGTTATGTAAAGAAAATTTTCCTTTTGATCAAACATTGCTTTTGGACTCAAATCTTGATTTATGATTTCATTTGAGTGATTTGTTTTCACTTGAAAACTTTTTTCATGGTTCTCATGTTTTCCTTTTCTTTTGAATTCATAAATCTATCTTTACACATGGTTTTTATGGTCCTTGATATGAGACACTATTTTTCATATTGACATTTTATATGTGTTCTCATTGTCTTTTTGTATGTGAGTGGTGTTTAGCATATTTCTCATCTATGTTTACTCACATATGTTTGCCATGGTCTTCATTGCATATATTCTATATGGCTTTTTGATAGGGGGAGCAATCCCTATATATATTCTTTTTATACTCACCTATGCTTATTGATAGGGGGAGCTTTCGCTCTCTTATTCTTTTTGTCCCCTTTTTGATGTTGTCGAAGGGGGAGAAATATTGTGAGTATATGTATATTCTTTCTTGCAATCCCTATATATATTCTTTTTATACTCACCTATGCTTATTGATAGGGGGAGCTTTCGCTCTCTTATTCTTTTTGTCCCCTTTTTGATGTTGTCGAAGGGGGAGAAATATTGTGAGTATATGTATATTCTTTCTTGTTTATATGCATGTGAATTGTAATTTATATATTCATTTCTTTTCATGCATATATCCTTTTTGTAAATTGTTTGTCATCATCAAAAAGGGGGAGATTGTTGGCCTTCTTGTTTTGATAATGATTTACAAACAATTTACTACTAATGTTGTTTGTCTAGTGTTTGTACATTCCTATGTTTTGTAGACAAACAACGTTGTTGGAGGATGGATGGAATAGAGCTTCAACGATCATATCCAAAGGAGGTTGGCGGAATGTCGGTGAAGCCTTGAAGCTCAATCATATACACACATACACGGTTTGGTTTTTGGTTTGATAGTTTTACTATGAAACAATTTAGTTATATATATACATAGTTATATATATACATATATGTTTTGGTTTGATAGTTTTCTAGTTTTACTATGAAACAATTTAGTTATATTGAAAAACATATTTTTGTTTCATACTTATATGCATATATATGATTTCATCAATATCAATTTTAGTTAGTTAAATGAAATCATGTTTTAGTGCATTATATGTGTATTTTGATAAAATACTACATTCATTGTTTATAGACTTCATAACAATAGTTTACATCTTTCTTCAAGTCTATAAAATCATTTTGTAAAGTTTCAAAAGTTGGTTTAGCCAAAATGTCAAAATTCACATGTTTACATTTTCGTGTTTTGGACTATTTTGCAAAATGATGATATTTTTCATTTGGGAAGTCCTTTTTCGAAACCAGTCATTGTAGCATGTTTATTATCATGTCTACAATCATTCCCCAAAGTTTTACATTTTTTGGAATTTATTTGATATTTTTAAACAGCATTTCAAAATCAGATAAACAGTTTTCATATCAGTTTTCGGTCGACCGCACCGGTCGACCGAACCTGAGGTCAAAAGTTCACTGGGCTGACAGATAGCTGTCGGTCGACCGGTCCGGTCGACCGATGAAAATTTTCGGTCGACCGACGAATTTTCCGGTCGACCGACGAGTATTCTCTCAGCTTCCAACGGCTAGTTTTTTGACCGTTGCATTGGGGAGCTAGTTTTCTGTTTTGTTTGTTTTTGGGTTTTTGGTCATTTCCTTGGGGTTTTGGCTGATGTCTTGGGTTGTTATATATACCCCATTGCTGATGTCTTTTCAAACTAACTAAGAGAGTTTTAAAACAAGTTTAAGAAAGTTTTAATCAAGGGTTTAAGTTTGTTTAAAGTGTGTTTATAAGCTTTTAAGCATTTGAGTGTTTCGATTTTGTGAATCAAATTCCACAAGAGCTTGAGGAGATTATCTATTGAAGTTTGAGCTTCCAACTATCATCCCTCCATCTCTTGTTATCAAATTGAGAAGTTTTCTAAACTCAAACTCTAGCTTTACATTTATATACTTGTTTGATTATCATTGTTCTTAAGCTAGATTTTATATTTGAGTTTAGTTTGATTTTGATTTTACTCATTGTTACACACACCCACATTGAGCTTTTAGTATTTACATACATAGTATAGTTGGGTGGTGAGAGATTGTAACTTTGAGTTGTGCTTAATAGAGTTCTCATCCATAGTTGAGAACAATCATTTGTTATATTGTGCTTATTGTGAGATCCACTTTGTAATACACTTGTACACCGAGTGAGGAGTGTGTGGTGAGAGTCGGGGATCGTCCCAAGAGGAGTGGCGTCGGTTGACGTGCCTAGGGAGAGGTTGTAACCGAGCACTTGAGTGAGACACGGCTAGGTCCAACACTTAGTGGGTGTAGAGTGTGATTGCAAGAGTGTGAGTTGTAGAGTTTTCGGTTAGCTAGAAAACCGAGTGTGTAGAAGAAGTTCCAGCTTCCAAACCGGATTGTGTTAGTGGATTTCTCCCCGGGAGTGGGGAGCGGAGACGTAGGATGGAAGGTCCGAACTCCGTGATCATATTGCTTGTTTGAGTGTGCTTTGGCGTTCATTCATTTTTATGTTCATATCTTATATCGCCATTGTCATTAGCTCATTATCTATATCATCCACTATCTTGTTTAGATTGTTTACCCCTTGTGTTAGTTTATATATATGCATATATTTCATCATATAGGATATATCACTTTGTGTATATTGCATATTCTTGCCCATAATAGATTGTATACCTCATATAGGATATATCTCATTGTTCATATTGCTTATCCTAGCTTACATATCTTGTTGTATTTCATACTTGCTAGGATAACGTATTAATTAATTTTAATTGGCATTTAATCGGATTAGATTAGCATAAGACCCTAATTACCCCCCTCTAGGGTCTAACACGGACAACAACTTTCCAAACCGTGTCATAAATACACAACTTTACCAACAACAACCAAACAGCCCCTCACAAAAGAATACCGTAGTGACAATTTACCCACACTAGTGATGATTGGTCTAAGCCAGCATGTGAAGCTTGTTCTTCTCGGATTCTCACTCTAGCAATCGTAACCAAAAGCCAACCAATTATTAGACCAAAAAAAAAAAAAAAAATTAAATGCTAAACAATTGATATGAGACAAGTTACCTACACTAGACTATAAACGACAATTCATTACAATCAAGGGGCAAAATGAAAAAACTTTCACAAACCTGACTAGTCTCCAATTAGTCAACTCTCCTCGGTTTAATCACCCCCCAAAACAACCCAACATGGCTCGCGCAAAAATCCCCAAACACAGACAGACTTCGCGATCCAAAAACCCAACACAACTGCGAAAAACTATATAAAAATTCGCAAATTATAATTATGCCCCATTTCGTACTTATCCCATCTCAGATCTCAACCCCCCCTCGCCACACCCCCTCTCCCCCCCGCCGCGTACGCTCACTCGCGGCTCACGATGTCGACGAACTCATCGCCGACGAAAGAGCAGGGAGGATCGTCAACGGCCTCCGCCACGGGAGGCGCGATGCTGGAGCTCCCGTCGGGGCGGGGAAGTTCCTCTCGCTCAACGCCGTCGCCTCGGCGAGCGATCGCAGGCGACGAGGACGATCGCCGTCTACCCTAGCGAGGAGTTTTGCAGGGGGGCCCTCGTTTCTTCGCCCGAGCAAGTAAAATTTTAGCTTCTGGCCCCTTGTTTTGCTTTGGTTTTGTTTTCTCTGGGGACGGTCAGGTTGTGTCTTTTGGAAAAGCTGTCGCCTTTTTTTTTGGAATTTGGTCGTAGCGGGTTTTTACTTTTGAAACTCTCTGACGGAAGAATTTGACTTTTTTCCGCATTAAGTTAAAAAGTTTTGATTTGGGGTTGATTATGATTTTAGTGTATTAATCTAAATGTGATATCTATGTAGGAGTTCTTTTTTGTCTTGAACTCGTAGTTGAGTGATTATGACGTGTCCTCTCAAAAGATTCAATCCTTCTGGGCTTGATCTAGAATAGTTATTATATGCAATGCGTTGATTAGAATGGTTGATTGTACGAACAATGTAGCCAAAGATCACTACTTAGAGGTTTTAGCAGTTCGTTCCTTATCTTTCATCTTAGATGAAAAGTGTTTGTTTTTAATGGTTCTGAAGTTCCCTGTTAAAGGATTCAGTCAGTAGTTATTGGCTTGGCTGATAAAAGATTTAAGTATGCATTTTAATACATCAAGTTATTTTATATGTTATGGTCGTCAATAGAAGCATGAAATTAATGAGTGTGAGCTCGTAGTTCATTTTGCTATATGAGCTAGCAAGTGATACGCTCGAGTACGGTCCATCTCGCAAGTCATATTGTATGGTGTGGAACCTCACCATTTCCATCTCTCGTAGGTCATTTTGCTTACTAATTTGGCAGCTCATTTGCGATATTCTCATATAAATTTCATATTGTAGCATCTGGAAACGTATCAAGAGATATACTAGTTGCGAGGTCCACCTCGTAAGCCACATCCTATGGTGTGGACCTCACCATTTCTGTCTCTTAATTGCTCATTTTGCTAAACAAGGTGGCATCTGATATCCGGTATTCTCATATAAATTTCATGTTGTAGTACCTGGAAATGTACAAGAAGTCGATAGATGATCCTGCGGGGTTCTGGTCAGAGATTGCATCAGAGTTTTACTGGAAAGAGAAATGGGACCCTGAAGTTTATACGGGAAATCTTGATGTGACAACGGGGCCTATTAAGATTGAGGTCAGTCGTTAAATTCTTTAGCTTGTGAGGAAAATATGAAAACAGATGAAGACAGAATTTTTTGACTGGTTCTCTACCCTGTTGCTATCTAGTGGTTCAAAGGAGGCAGCACAAACATATGTTACAATGCATTGGACCGAAACATTGAGACGGGGAATGGAGACAAGATTGCATTGTATTGGGAAGGGAATGAACCGGGTTCTGATGTGAAGTTAACTTACAATGAGCTCTTAGAGAAGGTTTGCCAGGTAAAGTTCCTTCAAATGCTATTGCCTTGTGTTCTTGTAGAACACTAAGTTTATGTTTAATGGGCTAACATTATTGCCTTTCCACAGCTTGCCAATTACTTGAAGCATGTGGGTGTTAAGAAGGGTGATGCAGTTGTTATATACTTGCCTATGTTAATGGAGTTGCCTATTGCTATGTTGGCATGTGCAAGAATTGGTGCTGTGCACTCGGTACTAGAATCCTCAACTAATCAGTTGCATCTAGGGGTTTTTCACTGTGTGAAGAATTGGGGGTATCATGTATTGCTACTTTGTGTCTAGGTTGTATTTGCTGGTTTCTCTGCGGAATCACTTGCTCAGAGGATTATTGATTGCAAACCGAAGGTAGTGATAACAGCCAATGCCGTGCGTAGGGGGGCAAAAGCTATCCATCTAAAAGACATAGTAGATAATGCGCTTACTGAATCTGAAAAGAGTGGAGTTCCTGTAGGTATGTGTTAGCACTTTTTCTTTTTTCTGTTAAATATCCCAGTGAAATTGCTGCTACTGTGGCTAATGATGAAATACTTTTAGTAGGATATTCTTCAACTGAGGAATTTCTTTATGCAAAAGAGTGTTTTTTAGAGTAAACATGTTGATTGGTGCACCTTCTCTTACATGTGCAGTATCTTTAAAAAAACCATCAGGCTTCTTAGTGTAAACCTCAATATTATTAGAAAATGGAAAGCCATCAATACAAACGTTTGGAGCTGGAAGTATAATTCTGGGAGCATTTCTCTGCTCTTTAGTTTCTTCTTTATCAAATTTATGTGGGAAATACAAGTCTTCTTCTTAAGCAGCAGTTTCTTTTCTAGTTAATTGACCGGTACATTATGAACAAGGAGTCCATTCCGGGCTAACATGCATTCTAATCTTCAAGAATGTGTTCAGCTCCCTAAATTTACGGATTTGGTCACCAAATAGTTGGACGTATAACGTAGAAGATATTTCAGCCATTTAAACATCTCTTAATGAAAATGAGGATAAAGGTGCATTATTGTTGTTCTGATGTTCTGATGTTCTGTTGAGGGATAATAACAGAAAATGATAGGAAATGAATGGCAACTTCACATTGACAATTGTCCACAAGGATTTGACAAATTTCTTTCATTTGTTTGTTAAGCGATGACAACTTTTGTGAAAACGTCCAAGAAAGGTAACTATTTGGCAGAGTGGTTCTAGAGGACCTACTAGGTAGCTGATGAGCAGTAAATGCTATCTTATTTCGTCATCCAATATATTCTCATGCAGAAGTAGGAAACCTGTAAATTGTCATATGCTTCAAAGAGGTCTGTAATTTCCTTTTCTTTTTTACTTTTTTGTTCTTTTCATGTGTCTGGGGGATAGGAAATTACCAACATCTTTGAGGAACTGACGCATAGGTTCTGCAAAATGATGTTTTCTTCATCTTGTTAAATTGTTTGTGATCAAAATTATGCTTTTTTTCTTGTACTTTTTTAGCTGATCATGTCATAGTTAAGTCATAACTGCGTCTTTCATGTTTTGGTGTGATAGTGGTTTTTAAATTATTGGGTCATGAAATAGGAGCAAAGATGCATCAAGATTTATGCGTCTTTAAAAAGTTGGATGTTGCTGGTTAGTGTTCCTTGCGATTCTACTCACCTCGGTATTTTGGATGGGTGGATGCATATTAGTAACTCATGCAAGAGGAAAGTGGAAACCTACAAATGATGGAGGCCATGCACGGTAGTATCACTGATCTAAATATGGAGTTCATTTTTATAAATCCTATCATCAACACACTAAGGGCTTGTTTGGATTGAGGGGAATAAGAGAGAAGGGAAGTTAGGGGAACCATTCACCTTGTTTGGGAACACTTAGGAGGTGAAGTTATTCACCCTAGTTCCCCTTAGTTCACCCCTTAATAGTATAAAATTTGTTACCTCTCAAATTGGGGTGTAACCAAGGGGAAGGGAACTCCCTTCCCTTCCCTTCTCTTCTCTCACCTAGCTTCCCTTAACTTCCCTTAACCCCATTGAAATCCAAACACGCCCTAAGGTTGCATTAGTGAGTTACAATTATGTAAGCAACATAATTAACACAATAGCGTAAATAAAGAAGGAAAATTGAGAGGTTCGGCTGAATTGAGACACAACGTGAAGTAGTTCACCTCTAAATGGTCTATTTTAGGAGTTGGGTGCCTGTATGTGGGGGTTTGGACACTTTGCATTAGCTATCTTCCAAGGTCAAAGCTATGTCTATAACCACTCAAAAATTTGAATTATCACCCACCAATTGCTGTTACAGAGCGTCGGAGCGCTGGGTTCCACTTCGTGATTTAAAGGCGAAAGGCGAGGTCAAAATGACAAGATTCTACATGACGTGCTAGGTTTTCAGATTTTGTGATGTTTTTTGTCTGTATCGTATCATACCCATGTCATATTCTCATCCCTGTTGATGCTTCAATTTCACGGACTATGACTAATGGTGCTTGCTCTCTTCCCCTCAACCTTGTTTCTTTTGAAATGTTGGTGCTCTGCACTGAATATTTAGATCATAGCCTGTGTTGCTTACATCGTGATAGCAGCTCTATTTTCTCTTATGTAGGAACTTGAGGTTGAATATCAAGAGAACCATTTGCGACGAAGAGAATGAATGTTGTGGGTTTGGGAAGTTAATATGGAATAGCTAGTAAATATAATCAACATTATTAATCATTTATATTTTCTTTTGTTTCTCTAAAAGATGATAGTCATAATATTTGTTTCTAGTAAATTACTAAAAGTCTAGAGTTTGGATTAGGATGGGCCATTACTTAAGTGAAGCATTATGTTCCATCTTATATCTATATTTGTTTGGCGCTTCACTTCATAGATGTCGGACGAAGTGTCAAACATTATATCAGCTTCCACTTACCTAATGCAACCCTCAAACATTATATCAGCTTCCACTTACCTAATGCAACCCTCTTCTGTTCGGCTCCAGGCTGTGTGAAATTGGGTTCATTAATTGTTGTTTGACTGTTCTGTTGTGTTCCAAGTGTCTGGCCTTCACACTTACGATATTTGCGTTTCATTAACTCTCAAGTAGAGAAACAGAAGCGGCATGATTTTTCCATAGTTGTAATCATACTCTTTGTAACATTATGGACCTTTTGCAATATTCTTTGTAATTGTGAAGACATTCTAGTGCTATTGAGAATTTCTTGGTTTGCTAGTCAGAGCCTTATACTATAATTCTCTTATTGTATTTGGATTATCTGACTACTTTTAGTATTTGGATTATCTGACTACTTTTAGTAATCTGGTTGAAAAGCAGCCAGAGCATTATTGATCTTGACAAGAGAGATATAAGAATGTTTAATGTTTTATGCTATATATGTTGGTTTTTCAGAATCTGCAATTTTTTATTGGGCCCTACTGTTTGATTCCATATATATGCTTGACTAGTTATTGTAGTCCATATGGCATGACAAAATGATTGATGTACTGTTGATTGTATTTTTCTCCTATTATTCTTTAGCAGTAACTTTTTAAAAATCTTTTACATTTATAGGTGTTAGCGTGAAATTCACCCGCTATCTGCATTTATTTATTTTCTCTCCACAGGTTTGTGTTTGACTTATGAAAATCATTTGGCCATGGAGAGGGGGGCTACTAAATGGCAGGATGGAAGGGATATATGGTGGCAGGTTGGGGCATTACTTTACTACTGTATTGTCACACTGAAAGAAGTTTTTGTAGCTTTTAAACCACATCCACTTTTCTAGGCACCTCTGTGTTCTCTAAGAATATTATTATATTCTTTTATTTGTATTGCTGCTGAGAGGTCGTCACGTGCAATCATACTTCTTTTTTCTGTATAGAACGATTTTCATCTCCATTTTCATGCTAAAGAACTCCCTTTCAGGATGTTGTCCCAGAATTCCCTACAAAATGTGAAGTGGAATGGGTTGATTCTGAAGACCCACTATTTCTGTTGTACACAAGTGGCAGTACTGGAAAGCCCAAGGTAATTTCTTCTCAAGTTACTGAAGAAATATAGCATCTTGCTTTTTCCGTCTTGAGTTACTTCTTTACGCTTGTGATGGCAGGGTGTATTACACACAACCGGAGGATATATGGTGTACACTGCAACTACTTTCAAATATGCATTTGACTATAAGTCATCTGATATATACTGGTACATTGCAATTCTTTTTCCCGCCTTCTGTTCTGGTGAAAATGTGTTGTCTAGAAAAATTCAATTATTCGAGGTAAGAATTTGTAATCTCTTTTATTCTTCCTGCAGTGCAGACTGCGGTTGGATTACTGGGCACAGCTATGTAACATATGGCCCTCTGCTAAATGGAGCTACTGTTGTAATTTTTGAAGGGGTTAGTTGCTAACATTTCTAGATAGGTAGATACAGTAGATATAATGGAACTTAGACAATGATTCTGTAAATTTTTGAAAAGTAATTTTTCACCAAGTAGACTTGGCGATATGCACCATTGTTTGGTTGCTGGTTTTATTGTTGATTTGGAGCTTGACTGTACCTTTACCACTCCATGCACCTCTTCCACTCATGTAATTGTTTCTTTAATAGTTCTGAACCTTTCTTTGGGTAAACCTGTAGGCTCCAAATTATCCAGATGCTGGACGTAGCTGGGACATTGTTGATAAGTATAAAGTGACGATATTTTACACTGCTCCAACTCTGATTCGTTCTCTCATGCGAGAAGGTAATGAGGTGAGTACTTCCCTTTGCAACTCTTTCTCCCTGGTTAAGTGAAATGGCATACAGAGTTCAGATCTCTTCTAGGGAAAGAAAATGGAGTTACTGACCGCCTTTGAGTTTACGAGGAGGTAGTTTCATCGTCTTTGTAAACATATCTTTGCTTCTTTCATTTCCTTGCGACATACTATTCATCTGTGTCTCTTTCTATGCATTTGTATGGTTCTCTTAATTATAACTGGTCTAAAAGAGATGAAGGTCATGCTAAACTTTCATTCTAATATTATATGGTCCTCTTTTAAAATTGAATTTTTCTCTCCATCTCCTGAGCTGTGCCATTCTTATCAACAGTGGTGGGTCCAGAAAACTTTTTTTTTGGGGATGGGGCACAAGTATCTACTTATCTAAAAATATAATATATAATATAGTATAATATGGTGGAATAATAGTATCGGATAGGAATGTACTCGGCATCGGCACACTTTATCAGCTTCGTTGCATCACATTTTGTCTGTAATGTGATAGATAAACACAAGTGGGCATTTTTACTACTTCCATTAATAAAATCAAAAGATGTATACTTACTCGCTTTGCAAAATGCAACATTGCGATCACATTCTAACATTTTTTTATATAAGTTAAAGAAATACAATAAAAATAAAATTAATAAACAAATACATATTAGATTCTAACATTTCCCCATCTAATCAAGTTAACTGAGCCCACTTTGGTTGCAATCAACTTGTGGTCATTTGCCCAAGGCTTCTGTTGCCTCAAGTCCACAAAATGATTTTTTTAAATTAATTATTATTATTATGATTTGTTTGTGGTATGGTTCGTGCTTGCAGTTGCTTGGCTATGGCTTTTATAGCTTCCTCTTAATCAAATTAAAAAAGTTGATTTGTAATGATTCTCACTCTTTACTTTATGGTGTGCAATTTATGATTGTTTGGCTAAATCCAGTCGTAATAGACAAGCCGCTATGACTATTTCTTCTAATTTAAAGATTCAGTAACCCTACCTTCATCAATGAAATGTTTTATTTGTAGTGGACTAGTTTTGGGTTTTAGATTTTGGGGTTTACATGAAATGCTTTGTAATGATTCTCACTCTTCAGCTTCATCTTCTTTAAAGAACATACAGTAATCAAAATGGGTCTTGGATTTTAGATTGTGGGTTTCCAGTGTAGTAGTTTTGGGCTTTTAGTGCTAGGCCCATATGACTTTATTTTGGAAATTTAAATGGGCTCTACTAGTTACTTTAGTGCTTTTAGATAAGTTGGGGGTGCTTTTTTAAATTTTTTTGGGGAGGCTTATTGTAAAAAGTACTAGGTTCACTTGCTGTAAGAAAAATTCTAGGGGTGCAACTACGCCACTTGGGGAATACATATATCCGCCCCTGCTTGTCAATTATATGTGGCACATCATTTCCCATGTGTGATCTTTCAAATTGAATTCATATTCTTATTTGTAAAGTACAACATTTACTCATTGTTCATTCATATCCCATGTGTGCTCTTTCAAATTGAATTCATATTCTCATTTGTAAGGTACAATATTTACCCATTGTTCATTCCCATTGATTTCTATGTTAATGCTTCCCTTTGAATTTGCTGTTATCTCCATTATTTAACCTGTAGCACAATTTACTCCACTTTTTATTCCTCTTACACTTCCGTGGGCCTCTGCTTACTAGAGCCTTCCCTACTCGGTATTTCATGCTCATGCTTATCTTTCTTCCTTTCTGTTGGTAGGAACACATGTTTGTCTAAATTCTCGCTCTCTTTAATTTTTGTACCTATCGCTTCTACTGGTTCTCATATATAAAATGTTGTTGACTCCCTGATAGCTCTCAATCGAATTCTCTTGTAACATGCTACCTCAAGTCTTATTAGCATGTTGTTATACTCAACCATCCAGAAGTCCCTTTTATAGTGCATTAATTTTTTTGATTGAGTGTTCATCAGTTCCCTCTCGGTAACATATCTATGAAAAAAGATAGCTGTACTCTATACCAGTGTATTCTATCTAGTAGATCTAGAGAATAGAAAATATGTTTATGTATGTAGTTTTATATCACATGCTTTTATTAATATTGAACATGTTTTCTATTTTTGTTTTATGCAGTATGTTACTCGCTATTCTCGTAAATCATTACGAGTGTTAGGAAGTGTAGGGGAGCCCATAAATCCAAGTGCTTGGAGGTTCATATCCATTCTTTTATGTCAGTTGATGAGCAAATATATAATTCTTCAGAAGCATCTTATGTTTATACTTGTCTTAGGTGGTTTTATAATGTCGTTGGCAACTCACGATGCCCTATTTCAGATACTTGGTGGCAGACTGAGACTGGTGGTTTTATGGTAACTTAATCTCCATATTTTCCTCCATGGTGCTTATCATTATCAGATCGAGTCTCTGTAGAAAGATTTATGTTTCCATAGGGGTTAGTCCTTTAGTCAAGGGGAAAAAAATTTGCAGTGCCCTAATTATTCGTTGTTGTTTGTTTCATCTTCCTGATAATTTAACACTCTTTTCATTTCTCTGCTTTATGATAGATTACTCCTCTACCCGGTGCATGGCCACAGAAGCCTGGCTCTGCCACATTTCCATTCTTTGGGGTCCAGGTATTAGCAAACAAATTGTATTATGTGAAAATGTAAACCAACATTATTTTATGATTTGTTTTGAGAAAATCTTTTGCAGCCAGTTATTGTGGATGAGAAAGGGAATGAAATAGAAGGTGAATGTAGTGGGTATCTCTGCATTAAAAGATCATGGCCAGGGGCATTCAGAACACTTTATGGTGATCATGAAAGATATGAGACCACATACTTTAAGCCATTTTCAGGTTATTATTTCTCTGGTGATGGCTGCAGCAGGTAATTTAGAGTTTCATAAATTTCATGCTTGCATTCCATCTTTCTCTAACAGATATGACACCAACGCTAGTTCATTGTACATTTTCTTCTGTCAAAAGTGTGATTCCTAATGCCTGTGCTCAAATTATTCTACATTTAACCTCTATTTTATTTATATTGACATGGTCTGATATTTATCCTGATTTTAGGGACAAGGATGGCTACCATTGGCTCACTGGAAGAGTTGATGATGTTATCAATGTCAGGTATTGCTTCAAATTGTTCTATTCAAAATTCTCCAAATATGCATGAATTTTATTGCAATCATAGAAGACATTTTTTATGTGCAACAAGTAACATTATATTGTAGGCATGAGAAATGTTCTTAATGGCTTAAGATAAGATCTTATTTCTTAACTATGAACAATAACATGACATTTCAGTGGACATCGTATTGGGACAGCAGAAGTAGAATCTGCACTAGTGTCACACCCTCAGTGTGCAGAGGCTGCTGTGGTTGGAGTTGAGCATGAGGTGAATACCTTTCTCATTTTCCTATTGTTCGTTTACAATTCTTCACCTCCCTTATAAGAGCTTCATACCAACATTTCTTTGTCCTAGGTCAAAGGGCAGGGTATTTATGCCTTTGTTACTTTAGTAGATGGTGTTCCTTACAGTGAAGAACTCCGGAAAGACCTCATATCAACAGTGCGAAAACAGGTCTATCCTTGTTAACTAGTTTATCTGCATGTTTTAATTTTAAAGTAAGATTTCAATTTTCAAATATCTGCTGAAACCAAAAAGTTCAACATTTTAAGTTACTTTTTCCTGACTTCTCGTAATCTCTGCTGACCTGTGAACCTAAGACAAACTGTGCATAAACTCAGCTGGTTTATATTGTTTAGATATGAGTTTTGAGTTGTTAACAGGTATTATCCACTTAGCCCGTATCGATACAGTGTGTTTGAGATAATTTTCTCTTCATGCTTTACTTGACTCAAGCCACTTAGTTTCAGAGAATAGTAGTATTCATGTCACTTTGTTATGCAATACTCATTGTTCTAAATATCCCCGGCATGACCGATATATTGGAAATATATCCTTTGTAAGGCTTTATACAAAACGGTACAGTCTAAATACTCTTTACCGCTTTTTAGCAATTTTTCGGTAACATATTGTTGACATGGCTGATATATGAGTCAATATGTTGGTCGATATGTCCTTTTATATGACTTGTCGACAAACAATGTACTACTTTTGCCATTTTTTGGGCAATTTATCATGATTTTCCTGATATATCAAGTGACATTTCATCCTTAAAAAAATCGACTGGTGTTATACCCTGAAAATTACTAAGTATAATGAACTCTAAATAGTCGGCCACATGCCGTATTTAAACTAGCCGAGTTGCACAAAACTAAAGACCCGACCCGGGTATTAGCTTCGCCAATCTCTTTCCAAGACACAAGACTGAGACAAAAAACGTCTCGAGAATTACTCGAAGCATTTGGGATCCGAGAGGAAAAGTGTCCTCCACTTGGACTCTTTGTGGAATGTCTTGAACAAAGGGACGACCTTCTAGCTTTTCTAAGCCTAGCTACGTACCGCAGTCACTATCCAATTTAATGCATGACTCTGGAGTCATTGTGAGTTCCCCCGTTGAAGTCATAATGACTCCTCGGACGATGCCAGCGCTTTGCAGTTGTCACTATCGCATTAAATGCAAATGTGACTCATTCACCCAATGATGACACTGTAAAGCGATGTCTGATCAACTGTGATGCGAAACGGAACATGGGGTCTATCAGAATCAGCGATTTAATTTAAACAACGCACCGTTTCGTCAAAATTCATGATCTTCAGTAGGAAATCAATTAAAACAGTTAACGTGACATATGAATTTAAACAAGATTTGCCTCAATAGTCAAGAACAATTCCAATCTCGATCAATTTAATTGCAATATTTATTATCATTGCACAAGTTTTACAATCAATATCAAGTTTTAACAATCACATGTTCAGTTTCTCTCAACTCACAATTATACTTTAAGCAGTGAATATATGATAAGAGTTTAGAGGTAATATACTCATGCAATTAACTAACAAAATGAGATTGACAGAAAAATAAAGAGGAAACGAAACTTTCGTCGGTCTGACCAGACTCGACATGAGAGACCTTTGGAGGTGGTGCGACGACAACGGTGAACTGAACGACGATGATGAGGCGGAGATCCTATGACGACGAGTGCGACGGTGTTGAACTGATGACGACGCTGCGATAGGATGAGGGCGGTGCGATGTCCCACGGGTAGTCGTCGGGTCGATGCAAGTGGCAGGCGTTGGGACGAGGCCGACAGTGGCGTCAAGACGAAATAAACGACGGCTCGAAGGTAAGGAGAGCAGAGAGGGATCAGCAGCTTGTGGAAGAGGAGAAGTGGTGGGGGCAACGAGGCTGTGAGATGAACAGAGGAACGAGGGATCAGCAGCTTGTGGAAGAGGAGAAGTGGTGGGGGCAACGAGGCTGTGAGATGAACAGAGGAACGGGAGAAGATAGTGGTTTGATGGCTAGAAGAAGAGGAACATGTATTGGCCTAGGGTTTCACACTCGAGGCCTAGGTTTCACACCCAATGCTTCACACCAGATTTTAGCTAATGCAATTTTTTTTCATTCAATAATTCATTGCCTTTCAATAGTCTCATACAACCTTATTTATAAAGAAAAACTACGTGCACACAACGTGCAATAAAAAAAGAAACAAACAACAATCCCTCAAATCACTCAACTACAATTAAACTAAATTTCAAAATTCAAATTTCAAAATTCAAATTTCAAAATTCAAAATTCAAAATTCAAATTTTAAATTTCAACATTCAAAATTCAAAATTCAAAATTCAAAAATATATCAACTAATCAAATATTGCCATTTCTTGTCCTCATTATTCTCCCTGGGTGGGAGAAAACTCGACTCTGTCGAGTTAGCTGCAGAAACTTGTCATCTTCAATATACTCTGTCGTCAGTTATTTTTTTCTACATCTCAAATCATTAGTTAAATTGCATTGTAAATTCACCATCTAAAATATTATCAAAATTCACTGCAGCTTGGGTGAATATATAGAAGTGGGGGTAAGGTGAAAGAACTCTCAGAAATAATAGGCTAGGGTCAGACTTATATTAGTGGACTGTCAATAACATTGTGACTGTTTAATCACTCAATATTGAAAATAGAACTATGACCAAATCAATAAATGTTGCCATTAATCATTTCAAGAGTTGGAAAAATTCATAAATATCATGTCAAATCTTAAACAACAATAAAGAATTGTATTGGACAAGTCCAAACCATCTAAAATATCAGCATCAACAGTTTTAAATTAGGTTCTGACTCCATATCATTCATTTCAGTTAACAATGTATTTATTCAAGTTAGATCACTGATTCCCCAATATATGACCAATGCAAAATAAAAAAATGATGTAAATCAACTCAAATGATTATGATGAAATGCAAACTCGAATAATGTGATCAATGACAAATATAAACTCAACGAAGAAATGCATGACGTCCTCTATCAAATGGAATAATTATGTGTTCCTTCGTTAATATGTATAACAAATTTCCTATTTTTGAAGTGATAAGGAGGAACGTGCAAACACATGCATGAAGGAGTGTTTTTGTGTGCTTAATATGAAGGAGAAAGGAAATAAAAACACTCGTGCTCAAACTTGTATCCCTAATCACTATAGATTCCCAAAAAGGATCAGTGTATATGTGAGTGACTATCGGGACAATGCATGGGGATGTGATATCTAATATGGTAGCTGTTTCACTATGCTCAGTTTGGGTTTTAACTTCCATACAGATATCCGAGTGAACCGAATCAAGAACTAAATCAGGAACGTGTTGGGTGTCATGTTTGTCTGGGAGGACTTCGTGGGGAATATCAACAACGTTTTCAATCATTGGAGTTAGTTCAGGAGGAGTTGAAGTTTCAATTTCAAAAACAACTTCAGAGATAACATCAGTGGGCTCCATGATCAGAGGGGTAGTTTCAGAAGAAATGAGAATGCATGGTTTGTCAATTTTAATATTCTGGAATTCCTTATCAGAGTTAGATTCTATCAAATCTACGGCCTGGTTAACAGTTTCCTTAATAATAGATTTTGATTCCGTTATATGCGGCTTATTAATTCTAACTCTGAACGGAGTTGTACAGACGGATGCAACGTGCCCATATCCTTGACAATTGTAACACTGAATTATTGGGTTAAGTTTGGTGAGATATCTCTCTGATTTCTGGCCCTTGGGATCGACTCTAGATTAGGAATAACTAGGGTTAAATTGACTCGGAGGCTGACTAGAGGTAGTGGCACGAGAAGGCTGGGAGGAATGAGTTCGAAAATCCTGACTCCTATGAGATTGGTGGAATTTAGCTTCATCTAGATCTTGAACTAAGGCGTAAGATCTCTCAAGGGTGTCCACTCCTCGAGCAAAGAATTCGGCTTGGAGGTCACTTCTCAATCCGGCTTTAAACTTTGACAAAACTTTCATTGGTGCCTCTTGCTCAATGGTGCTGCATCGAGTAAACAATTCATCAAATTGAGCAACGTACTCTTTTGCAGATTTGGTTCCCTGAGTAAGACAATGCCACTTATTTAGCAATCCATAAATAAACGATGGCGGGAGATATTTCCGTTTCAGTTCGTCGGTCATTTCTCGCCAAATAAAAATTGGTAACTCACTTCTAATATGCCTTATCATTTCAAATTTGGACCAATATTGACAAGCGGGTCCAATGAGTTTCATTGTGGCAAACTTGATTTTTTGGGATTCCGTCAGGACGTACCAATCGAAGTAGCGATCCATGCTCTTCAGCCAGTCAAAGAAAGTTTATGGGTCGAGCTTACCATCAAAGATTGGTGGATCAGGCACAAGTTGAGGTGGGGGTCGATGAACGATATACCCATGACCTTGCGGTGGGTATCCATAGCCTTGACCTCGTGGCGGAGTTGTAATCCACATTTTTTTTAACCTCACTAATCTTTCGTGGGTTTCATCAATTTGTGCTGCTAGTTCAGCGAATTTCTCAAGGAGTTCGGGATCTGTGTTACCTGACAGGCTGGACTCACTAGATGATTTCAGCGAATTTCTCAAGGAGTTCGGGATCTGTGTTACCTGACAGGCTGGACTCACTAGATGATTCACTAGACTCTCCTAATCAGGGTAGATGTTACCTGACAGGCTGGACTCACTAGATGATTCACTAGACTCTCCTAATCAGGGTAGATCTGTGCGAGGGGGCATGCACTAACAACTAGATGATATGAATGGGTTCACAACACAAATATTTTTTTTTAAATAAAGACTCAAAAAAATTCTTAACCTAGAACCATGCTCTGATACCAAAAATGATGCGAAACGGAACATGGGGTCTATCGGAATCAGCGATTTAATTTAAACAACGCACCGTTTCGTCAAAATTCATGATCTTCAGTAGGAAATTAATTAAAACAGTTAACATGACAGATGTATTTAAACAAGATTTGCCTCAATAGTCAAGAACAATTTCAATCTCGATCAATTTAATTGCAATATTTATTATCATTGCACAAGTTTTACAATCAATATCAAGTTTTAACAATCACATGTTCAGTTTCTCTCAACTCACAATTATACTTTAAGCAGTGAATATATGATAAGAGTTTAGAGGTAATATACTCA